AGGTGGAGTTTGTGGAGAGGAGGAGGAGGAGGACTGTGGGGTCCTTGTTGCTCTCTGAGCTTGGTTGGATTCTTGCAGACATTTCATGACCCAACTAGGTAACATCATCAGGGCTAGTCCATGTATGTCATTATAGAAATACAGACGTGGTCAGTCCAGATGACCTGCTTGCTTCATCCTCTAGTAGGAACCCCCATTCAAACCAGGGCTCCCATAATTCTTTTTTATGTGCGTGTGTGTGTGTGTGTTTGTTTTGCAGAAAACACTTTTAAGCGGATCGGCCCTCCGGCAGAAAAACCCGCCGAGAAGATCCCGCGGATTGAAGCCATCCCCAGGCCGGTTCCCCAGAACCTCCACCACCACCACCACCACCACCACCACCAGATGCGCCCCTACCCTTTCGGCCACCCCCCTTTCCCCCTCCCCCCGGTGCACCCCCTCTACAACAACCTCGGCCCCATCAACCTGGGCCCCATCCCGGCCCCTTACGTGCCCCCGCTGCCCAACATGAGAGTGAACTACGACTTCCCCCAAATGAACCTGCCGTTGGAGCACAACCTGCCTATGCACTTTGGGCCTCAGCCTCGCCATCGGTTCTGACCCAATAGTTGGGAGGAGGCGCCGTTCCTTCCGGAACTTGCTGCAGGGAAAGTCCACACACTGGTTGTCGAGGCTCCCCACCCCTCACTCCACAAAACTACGACGACGGCCATCTTCGCTCTGGTTCCCTCGGCCCCTCCCCGTCAACGGGTCTCCCCACTCCAGAGGTGCGTTTCCCTGCCCTCCGCGAGGTGCAGGGGATCCCACGTTTGCAATAAGGCAAGGGTCTTCCAACTTGGCCCAATTTAAGACTTGTGGGCTTCGGCCCCCGAACTAGAGGAGGCCTGAAGAAGACACGCTGGCTAGGTTCCGCCCCCGTCTCCTGCGGCGTAACTCTCTAGCTCAAGGGCCTTCCGACTTGGCGAGTTGACGACTTGCGGGCTTCAACTCCTAGAATTCCTGAGCTGACGTAGCCGGAGGAGGAATTCCGGGAGTTGAAATCCACGAGTCTTAAAAGCGGTCAAGTTTGGAGACCCCCTGCAATAAGGGTTTGTCCCGGCACTGTTGATTTCTCTCCGGGTGCTCTGAGAAGAGGGGCGACAGCATTGCCCACACGTGTTCTGGGTCAACTCCTTCCACAGCTGCAAGACCTCCCAGTATCTCCACCCGAGCAGCGGTAGAGGATTGGTAGAGGAACGCGGGAGTATTTCAACTGCTCAGGTGGCATCACTTCATTCCCAAGAAAACCAGCCATGGTGGAGTTTTCTTGGCTTAGATCAGAGGTCCCCAAACTTGGCAACTTTTAAGACTTGTGGACGTCGACTTAAGACTTGAAGTTGAGGTTCACAAGTCTTAAAAGTGGCCAAGTTTGGGGACCCCTGGCTTGAATCTTCCAGGGCTTCCCTCTTCCGCTAGGAAAAGCAGGGTAACGGGTGCCCTTTATAAGAAGGGGCTCGGGGGTGGGTGGGTCCTAAAAGCCATCTTGGAGAGGCCCTTGGAAATTTGACACGCCCTGAGGACAGCTGGGTGGGGCGGCTTGGAAAGTCACAAACCAGATCGGTCTTGGAAATCGGTGGGGCGGCCATCGCCCCTGGCCGGCTGCCGCTTTTCAGGATCTTGGGTCTGGAGCTGGAACCCTGATTCGGCCATTGGCGCCAAAGCATTATGGATCCCATGGAGGTTTTTCCTCTGCCGTTGCGTGGAGTGAAGCGATGGCGATCTGGCTGGCCTACAAAGAGGTCAAAAGTATTGGGGTTCCGGGGAGAGACAGGTGTGCAATTGGGTTTGGGCCCCCTCCGCGTTTCTCTGGCGTTGGGGTGAACGGTCAGGTTGCTCCCACCGCTGGGAGAACTGCCCCAATGCACCCTGGACCCCCCCTCCCTTCCCTCCCTCCTTACCTGTGGAAGCATCTGGCTCTAAGCTCCCTTATGCATCCTCCAGCTGTTGAAGCCCAGGTGTGAAGAGGTCACCAGGAAGTGAGATCCATTTAGGGCTTGAGTTGTTCAGCCGAGGTTTATTTGAAGAGCTGGCTTTAGATCAGTGTTTTTCAACCTGAGTGGCGTTAAGAGGAGTTAAGGCTTCAACTCCCCGAGTTCCTCAGCCAACTGTGGGAGTCGAAACCCACCCATCTTCAAGCCCAGAATTCCCAGCCAGCTCTGGGAGTTGGAGCCCACCCACCCCATTAAGGTTGAGAAACAGCGGTTTAGATCGTTTGGATGGACGGATGGAACCCGTTCTCCAAATCTTCCACTTCTCCCAGACATCCCCTTCTACTCTTTTGCACACCTGTACCCCCTTCGGTCCTCTGTAGCTTCAATACCCTCCTTGGAAGAGTTGTGACCTCCCAAACACGCCAGAAAGTCCCTGCGTGATCAGCCAGCCCCGCCAGAGCTTGGAGGAGAAGGAAGCGAGCGCCACGGCTGGTCCTCGTGATTTCAGGAAGGAAGAACGGGTGGCGTCTTCAGAAGCAGCTTCTCTTCCCAAACCCAACAGCCAAGCACATCAGGTTGATGACCTTTCTTCCAAAGAGTTGGCCAGCGAGGGTCTCTCTGGGTCAGAAGTCTGGAATCTGAGAGCCTCTTGCATCTTGGTAGACGCCAGGTTGCGGGGGAAACGTTGCAGAAAATGGCTGTCGTCTTCTAAACATAAATCCAACCTTCCCCCACGGTTTCCTCTGGGGCCTTGGCTCAGCTCAAAGCAATAGAATACAAGTGATAGTTTTTTGAACATGGACTAGCTTTGTTTGTCTCCCAAATCGCTCCCTCCCTCCTTCATTTTTTTTTTCCCCTTTAAATTTCCTCTATGAGAAGAACTAGATATTGACCGGATCCTTTGGGCATAGCAAAGAGGCCCGAGGCCTGCGAATATGGTGGTTTCTTCCCTCCCTCCGTTAAACGCGGAAAGGAATCAGAACTGCCAGGAAAGGGCTGCTTCCCAAGAGTTTCCTCCCCGATTCTAGCTACTGGTTTCCTTTACATAATATTAACAAACCAGGATTTATGCTTGCTTTTTTATCCCTCCCCCAGTTGACATTTTCCCCTTTCCTCCTGGACGACGTGATCACGCAACTCCCGATTCTTTACCGCGAGGCTTTTCTTTCAAATGATTCTGAAATAAAACCGGTGATGCTTTTGAACAGCTGTTCGCTTCCGGGGCAGGCGGCTCTCGCACAAGCCAGCGTGTATGTAGATCTACCTAGCCCACATAATGCCCAACCGATAAGGATTGATCCGACTGATTGATAGCACAATGTTCCCCCCTGGCAAATTTTGGACCCTTGGTGAAAGAATGGGATGCATTCCACGTTCAAAATATATCTCGGTGTTGGGACTGGCTGGGAATTTAATCCAATAGGAGCCATATTTTCTTGACGTTTTTCCACCCCAAAGTTTCCTGTTGTCTTCCATTCCGCACGTTGCCATTCCGGCTCTGTCTTAGTGCCACGTAAATTCAAAATCGTGTCTTTCCTTTGCTGTCGCTCGGCCACTAAAACCAAGCCCACGAACCACGTTAAGTCCAAGCTGATCTGATAACTGCTACATGGATCTTATTCAGGTTTTTAAATCTGCACCTTAACCTTAAACTGTTGGCTTCTTGGAGGTAGCAATTGTTGACTTGTCAGTGCATCTCTCTTTATAAATGTAAAATTTAGCTACTGCTTAAAACCCAAAAGGGACCTGTTTCTCCTAGAAGTACTTGAGTTTAGAACGAATCCTCATTCCTAGGAAATTGAGTTCTTTTGCATCTTAAAGCTTTTTAAAAAAAAAATCATTCTGGATAGGTTTTGGCTATTTGGGCTAATTTTAAAGTGAAAAGGACTTAATATCCTTCATTCTTCTCGTACGTCATTCATCTGCTGATGCAGAAATTCCCTTCTTCCTCTTCTTTCCTGTGCTTTGAGTTCCAAAATATTAGCTCAGCTTTTTCTGTTGGGTAAAGGTTGAATTTATTTACTCCTGGTTGTAGAAAATCCAACCTGCCTCTTCGATATCATTTCTGTAAGAATCTTGAACGAGGAGTTGGAACAAGGTTGCCCATAACAGGTGGGGGAGAATTCTTTTATCATTTAACTCAAGAGGTGTCCAACCTTGGCTACGTCAAAACCTGTGGACTTCCAACTCCCAGAATTCTCCAGCCAGCCAAGATCCTTATAGAAGTGAAATTCTAGGAATTGGAAGTCCACAGGTCTTAAAAGTTGGAGCCCCTTGATTTAACTAGTAATTTCCATTTTCTCTGCTTGTGGGATAGAACAGAAGCCCAGACTCTTCTCATCACTAGCCATGTTCACCTTACATTTCAGCATCTTCTGGAGAACTTCAGCTAGACCACTCATGGTTTAGGAAAGACAGTCTTGGACTTTTGAAGGTTGTCTCCCAGTTCATTTGAGGAAGAAACTATGGGTTGGAAGAAGCCCAAAGCATCAAGAAAGGTATTTGTTGACAAAGACATCTGACTTCCGTTGGCTCTTTGCTTTTTCCAAAATTACCTACAAGCTTCTCAGAAGGAAAGGACTTCCCAAAACATGCAGTCTCAAGAATCCTCCAGTTTTAATCAATTCCCACTGAGATGATTGATTGATTGATTGTCCTGATCTGTAACAGGTAATGTCGTACCAAACCCATCTTTTTAAAAATAAATAAATATCCCTGACTCTTTAAAACTTGGAAGATGGGAAGACGGTTTTGCCACCATGCCCGCAGAGCTTCTGCAAATAAAACGGGGAAACCGCCTGCAGTCTTAAAAGCCACCCCTGGTCTTCAGTTGTCCCTTCTGAAGGAGACTGGATCCTACCAAGGGGTTGGCAAAGAGATTACAAACCCAACCAGCCCTCAGGCCTTCTATTTTTTCTTTTTTTCCCTTTCTGGATCAGGGTTCCAGCAATAGGGTAGATCAGAGGTCTCCAAAGTTGGCCACTTTAAGACTTGTGGACTTCAACTCCCAGGAGTTGGAAGTCCTCAAGTCTTAAAAGCTGCCAAGTTTGGGGACCCCAGTGGTAGATGAGGCTGTGGGCCAGCCAGGGACTTTCTCCTCTTCGCTTTTTACAAAGCCATGTTGGTTGGTTGGTTGGTCGGTCTGTTTTCCTGTTTTCCTCTTTTTAATCCGAACTTCCCCGAATCTTTTAAACGGACATGCCTACAAGTGGAAAATTAATTGGATGGAGAGTGGAATTTTTATGAAATTCCATTTTGGGGGTGTATGTTTTTTATTGGTAGCTTCTTTATATATATATATATATATCTTCAAAAGCATTCATCTCTTTACGGGTAGACAAGAAGTGTATGGATTCCTCTCCTCCCCCTCCCTTTGACATTTTAATAGGTACTTTCTATTATCAATTTTGCAGTGTTGCATTTAACTTGCCTTAAAAGGTGGAGAGAGAAACTTAGCAATTTGCACTTAGCAAAAAGAGAGAGAGAAATTAATTTAAAGGAGCAAAGCCCCATCAAGGGGAGTGTTGCATGTTCTACAACTTTGTATAATATAGCTGAAAACTAAAAAGAAAAAAAAAAGAAAAGAAAAAAGACCCAAAACCAGGAGAGAGGGGAAAAAAAAAAAAAGATATTTTTCTTTACCTTCTGGTAGGAAACCACTCTAATCCGCGTGTAAAAAGTTTCTGTATTATATTGTAATTTCAATTTTTTTTTTTTTTTTGTAATTAAAAGAAAAATTTGTGCTCCCTGGTTTGTTTTTTTTTTGGTTTTTTTTTTAACGTCTCCTGGTTTCCTTCCTACGGAGGATCCATCCCGAAGGACGTGGCCCACGGCCATGCCGGATCGCTCGGTTGCCCTCATCTGCAAATCTTCAAATTCCTGCAGTTCAAAAACAG